CGGTGTCACGCCCGCACCTCGCTCAGCCAGTGAGCGGGAACCGGTCTGTATGTGGGATCCGAACCCTCGGCGGGAGCGCCGCCACGCTCCCAAGCGGCGCACTGTAGCAGTGCGCCACCGGGCCGGCCCCGTGCCAGGTAATTGTGAGACTGAATAATTGGGGTTCATTCTGTCTTTCAGTCAGTGGATTAAATACATGGTGGTATCTGAGGCCTTTCAGCTGTTTCTCTCTGGGTCAGTATCTTAACTTGACACTCATCTAGGTTTGCAGAACGTACTGATGAGGGCCTAAGACAGTATGTTTCTCTCTCTCTCTCCCGTGGGTCATTTACTACCTGTGCCCCAAAGAGAAACAGTTGGATGCTTTGAGTTTTATGCAAGGTGTCTATATATCATTCAAATCAGATACTTTTGAGAGTGAGATGGCGCACTTTAACACTCACACCAAGACAGTAGGCCTAAACTGCAGCATATGGTCAGCTAGTTTTAAACAAAATGGATGTCTGCAGTTGGAAGGAAAAACGTGAGGCAGTTGTTTGTGAAGACTTCTAGTGCAGGGGTGTTGTTGGTAGGTACAGGGATTTTGTTTCTAGCGGTAACGTTGCATCATTCAGTGACAACAATAATTATCTAGTGCCCTTTTCTGTACCCCCCACTTTATTTCGTTCAATGGCTGAGCCTCCTGGGATGTGTGTTTGTGTCTTATTGTTGTCTTTTTCTTCCTTCCAGAAATCCTGCAGATAATTCAGCTGGACCTAGACCTAAAGTATAAGACCAACATCCGCGAGTTGTTTGAGGAGTTTGACAGCTTCCTGCCCGGTGCCGTCATCGGCATAGCCCGGGAGATGCAGCCAGTCTACAGGTATGTTGTGGCTGTCAGGGGCGGGGGGCAGCTGCCAAGGCCCCCACCCCACTCCTCATCCTCTCTCTTCTGGCACCTGTGGTAGGTTGGGATTTCTTGGCATGCATTATTTCTGCACTTAGTATCTTGGAAACACATTTGTATTTATTACTGGCAGTTAATAGCATGGGCAGGTGGGTCCGTCCCCAAGCTGAAGATGCTACTTCATTATTTTGGGGGAGTTGTGACATTTTTCTTCTGAAAGCCCAGTTGTTTTGGTTGTTGGTTCTGATTAAGCTCATAATTTTAAAATCTTGGTCTTTGTCTTCCAGAGGAGGTATCAGGATTAAATTTCCATTTTAGTGATCAGCTGGGCTTTCTTCTTCTCTGAGTCACCAGTGACCCCTATTCTATGGAAGCAGAGTGGGTTGGCTTGTGGCTTTGGAAGGAGGTTAAAGGCAGCACAGCTTTGGAACACAGATTGGCATTACCTAGTCAAGGTGGAGAAACACATTCTGCATGATGCAGTGTTTCATTGTCAAGTGTGTATCATAGAGAAACTCTTCTACCCAAGAACTATGAGACAAGTTCATGAATATTCACTGCAACATTGTTTGTAGTAGAAAAAAAACTGAAAACACCTTAAATGTCCTAAGCAGCAGAATGGAGAAATAAAATGTGCTCATTCAGTTGAGTACTATTCAGCAACAAAATGAGCAGACAGTAACTATGTGCGGTGATAGACAAAACTAAACTGTAATCTTTAGGGATGCACGTACAGGTGCTAAAAATTATAAGGAAAATCAAGGAGATGATGATCCCCAGAGACAGCACTGGGGGAGGAGGGACTGGGGGGACTGGCTTTGTAGAGCCGCAGTGCGTTATTTCTCCACCTGGGTGGTCATGCACGTGTTTGCATGCACTCTTTTATGTATAATATAGGTCTTTCAATTTTTAAAAAAAGGGAAAGGAATAGCAGAAGCAGGTTTTTGTTAAAAACTAGGCCACAGCCCTGAGTCCAGAGAGTTCCATGTTTCTGACTCTTCCTCTAATGGGTTGAGTGATAGCTCACTCAGAGCCAGAGCTGCCCAAATTTGCTCGGAAGGAGCTGGGATTTCACTGTCCCCTAGGCTTGCCTGCTTTTTGTTCTTAGTGCAGACCCTAATGCCAGCTAATGGGTTGAGTGATAGCTCACTCAGAGCCAGAGCTGCCCAAATTTGCTCGGAAGGAGCCGGGATTTCACTGTCCCCTAGGCTTGCCTGCTTTTTGTTCTTAGTGCAGACCCTAATGCCAGCTCCCTGCAGACCCCCCGGTCATTGGAGAGCTACAGGACACAGGCAACTCAAGAGCCTGCATTTCCGCCAAGAAGGAAGGGAAGAAGACACAGCCTCAGCTTGCTTGTGGCTATTTGCAGGAGCCAGGTCACATAACAGGAAATTCCTGCAAGGCCCCTGAATGAGCTGATAACTCCTCAGGCCTCATGGGCTGTTTTTCCTTCCATGATCCTCTCACAAGCTGCCCCAGGGTCACTGGGTAGGCCTCTTTCTCTGCGATGGGGGGTGGAGCGGAGAAGGTTTGGGCAAACAACTGCCATCTTAACTATGGCAAGCTCCTTGCCTCATTCCCTCACCTCCATGCAGGCTGTGACTTAAGCTAGAGTCCTTGATTTAACAAAGGGAGGTGACAGAAGGAGCATTAAACAGAGAGTCCCAAGTTGCAGGTGCTGGTCCCAGCTCTGCCATCACACTTCGTGCCTTGGTTTCCTACCTGAGAAGGGCAACAGGTGAGCTTCAGGACCTCCCTCAGCTCTGCTTCTCCCCCAGCTCTGCTCTGGCATGCGTGGTCCCAGCTCTCCTGACCTTCATTGTCTTCTCTCCATTGGAAGCTGCTTGTCTGCTGGTGAGCTCCTTAGAGCTCTGGAAGGTCCAGTGTCCCTGGGATATTTACACTGGGCTAATTACTAAATTCAGTTAGAACAATGATGCCTTTCAGCTCTGGTTTGGAATCTTTTCCTGCAAATCACATCACACTTAATTTAAATAGTATTGGCCAGAATTTATATTTTCTGTCAATCTAGGATTTTATAAACTGTGTAACTTAAATCAATTTAATTGTCTGGGCTTCCCAAAAGAAATCTCTTAATGACTTTAGATTCAACATGAAATTGAGTTTTTCTTACCTTCAGAGTCTTTAGTGATTGTCATGTACAATGAGAACAATGAGACCTCTGCTGCTGGTAGAGCCTGAAGAATGCCATTTACAGGGCTTGGATGCTCAGAATTAACAGAAATTGAAGCCACTTTACGTGCTCCTTCCCTCCACCCCCAACTGAAATGTTTTTAAAGACCTCTGATAATTAAGTCTGCAAATGACTGCCCTCACTACTGTGTACCCTATTGGCTCTGGGGAATTAATTGCCTTTTAGTATTTGTGGTTTCTTGCTGCGTCTAAGAATGATTTGGTGATGGCTGGCAGGCCTTTTGCCTTCTTCCACCAGAAAACTGGAGACTCCAGTGACCTGCAAGATCTAGTATTAGTTGTCTGCTGCTTTGGAGTCTTCACCTGGCTCGCAGGGGGCAGGGAAGTGAGGGTGGGAGAAGAAAGAGGGTGGGGATGGAAGGAGTGAATAACTGGTGGCCGAACAAGGACAGATAGAGCCGGGCCCCTCTCCTGAGCAGGCAGGCCCAGCCCCTATGGCCTTGGAGTTGGCCATCAGTTACCTGGGATCTGCAGCCCTTGCCATCTGCACAGGTGGCCACTTGCCACTCCCTGATCCTCTCCTGAGCAGGCAGGCCCAGCCCCTATGGCCTTGGAGTTGGCTATCAGTTACCTGGGATCTGCAGCCCTTGCCATCTGCACAGGTGGCCACTTGCCACTCCCTGAGATGCTTCATGAAGCTGGCAGCCAGACTCCAATGACCAAGTGTTCTGCCTGTGTGGTGAAGCATGAGGTGGACAAGTTTTTATTGTAAATGGAATCTACTAGCATCTCTGAGAAGAAAGGAAAATTTAAACGTGAAACAGAACAGCACAAAAACAGAACTTGACTGGTTAAGCGAGTACACTTGGATCTGGAAATTCACTAAGCGGGAATATATTTGGATCTCTCCAGCTGTGTCATTTTTATTCACTTGCCCCACAGTTACTGTACTTTGAAAGGGCACATAGTAAGTCATTTTTATGGCTGTTTCCCTGCTATTGTGTAACATGAATGTCAGAAGCTCGTACGAGGGTGGGAAGAGTATTTCCCACTGTCCATTTGACAAATAGTTTTTTTTTTTTTTTTAACAGTTTTTCCCCCTAAACCTATACTGAACCAACTGTGCTTTCTGGAAAATGATGCACGGATCATGGGATGTAAGGATAGTGACAGAGGAAGCTTTCTCTTTTGGTTCCTTTTTAAGATTCTGCTGGGGCACACATCCTGTGACCGTCCTCATCTGAAAATCATGGAGCCTGCATCCTGGGGGAATGTTGCTATTCCTTTCTCTCACCCTTTCTCTGCCTTTTCTTCAGGAGTTAGACCCAGAGACAAGTCCTCAGTGGTGATGTGCTTAGTAGGGATAAGTGGCCAAAAGACAGAAGAAGAAGGGTCTAGTGCCTTCTCTGTAAATAGACAACTGTATTTTGCAAATATGTACCATTTTGAATTTCTTCCTTATGAATGCATTAGAAAAGTAAAGAAAACTGTTGGGCCCTCCTTATGTGCAGCTTTTAAAAAGTATAAAAGTGTATCAGCAGGCAAAGCAGCTTGATGGAGAAGTAATAGGATCAGGTTGTACTCCGAAGAGTGAATCACCCATGTGACACTTTGCAAGTCATTTGATTCTCTGACCTGCTGTTTTTTCATCTGTTAAGTGGATAAATATATCTAATGTTCAGATTTCCAGAAAAGTCAAGTGAAATAACACACACACAGAACTTTCTGAAGTGTCAGAGAGACCCCCAGTGAAGAGCGCTTTCTCACTCCCTCCTGCAATCCTCACCACTCCGTTTTGTGTTTTCTTTGCCAGGTGATTTGCTCTTTTCGACTCCTCCTACTTTATCCCACCCCCAACCATATAGGGTTGTCAGTTAAAATACGTGACACCCGTTAAAATGAACTTCAGATAAACAAAAAATAATTGTTTTGTATAATAAGTATGTCCCAAATATTGCACGGAACACCCTTATGCTAGCAATTTTTGTTGTTTATCTGAAATTTAAATTTAACAGGGTGTCCTGTTTGTTTGTTTTTTCCTAAATGTGGCAGCCCTACCTCCACCCCAGATTTAAAGACAGCCCATTTTAGCAGAAGCCAGTGACCTGTCATTCCCACAGGACCCTTGAGTGAGCAGGAACAAAGGCTATTCAAGTGGGGCTTGCAAAGGAAGGGGTGGGTAGCCCTCAAAGTCTCCAGGAGGCACAGGCCTGAGGTTCACTGCTCTGCAGGAGCTAGGAAGCCAAGCTGTGGCCTTGGACCTTTGGGGAGGACACTGGGACCAGGAGGCCTGGCGATGGGTGGCTTCAGGCCACAGGACTCCTGGTGACTCCGCAGTGAGAGAGAGCATGAGAGTGTGTGTGTGTGTGTGTGTGTGTGTGTGTGTGTGTGTGTCTGTGGAGGAGCTGGGTTGCAGCCCTCGGTTATGTCACTTTGTCCTAGAGCTGGCTGCCTGAGGAGGCTCTGAATGGGAGCTTTGTTGGTGGGGGCAGTGGGCTTCTGGTTTCATTGTACACAAGCTGGCTGTGTGCTGGTGTGAGCCCAACCCACTGTGAGGTGGAAGCAGCAGGCTAATCCTGTCAGCTGCTGCTAATATGCCACTAGGCAGGAATTTGCTTTTGTTTTAAGTATTTTAAAAGTGTCCACTCTTTCACCTTTTTGGTTCACTTTTTTTTTTTTTTTTTTATTGACAGCACTGTGCCAGCCTGGCCTTCTTCCAGATGCTTGGAATGAAAATGCCCATCTATCTTCCTTATTCTACCTCTAGGACTGGTGCAGGGCTCTCGGGGGAATGTTGGGGAGGCAGTGAGGACTAGTACAGT